CTTACTTATACAAAAACTCGATTCGTGCCTTATGTAACGCAAATACATCGGAAGGGTTCAAACTCTCTAGAGATGTTTCGATCCCTGAAATCTACCTCCCACATGGGACCACAGAGGGTTTACTTGGTGGGCCACCCCCCTCGAAACGAACAATCTTGGTGTTTTTCTCCGGTGGCGTCCATGGCTACATTCGTGAGGTACTTCTCAAACATTGGGAGAATAAGACGGAAAATGGCGTCAAAATTCTAAAATACCTCCCAAAAGGTGAGGATTACAATCAACAGGTACTATTTTAAATTGAAGTTTACAATTACATTTGAGATTTCATATATAGAGCTTGGATTGATCCAGGCAAACCAGAGAGGTTTATTATCAATTTACATGGTTCACACAATTAGGGTAGTCGTCTGATTCTGTGGTTGTTTCTATGATCGTTGTAGCAACTATTAGGTATAGAAACAATCAGACTCAACAACTCAACAATTTTTTTAACAATGGAGTTGATATTGGTTTCTTAATAGGTGAGAAAGAGCAAGTATTGCATTTGTGCTAGTGGATGGGAAGTTGCAAGCCCAAGAATGGTGGAAGCTCTTTACATGGGATGTGTTCCAGTACTTGTCAAGGATGATTATGCAAAACCATTTAGCGATGTTTTGAATTGGGATACGTTTTCGGTTGATATACCAACAAAGAAAATCCCACAATTGAAAGATATTTTAATGGCAATACCACAAAGGAAGTATATAAGGTTACAAAGGAATGGTGTTCAAGTTCGAAAGCATTTTGTTGTTAATTTGCCTCCAAAGAGGTACGACGTTTTCCATATGATGCTTCATTCGATTTGGCTTAGAAGACTCAACATTCATATCCGAGATATGCACAATGAATCATAATATTTTGATAGATAACTATGTTTGTAAATCGTATCTATTTGTGTTTCTTTAATAAATCAACTTTTTATTTTGTTCCAATTGTTGTCAAATCTTGTTCATTTAAACACTTCATAAACTCCAAAAGCTTTCGAGATGGAAAAACTCCCACAATTTTACATTACATACAACAATTTTCAATAAAAAGAGCCGAAAAAAAAAATGATTAATCTCAAAATGAGATAATAAATTAAAAGTAACCTCTAAAAAAAACTCATAATTTAAACCGATACAACTTTCTTTGTATCCACCGACTTCAACACTTCCTCCCCCATCTCCTTGCATCCAACCAATTTCTGAATCCAATATATCAATTTAAGTAGTTTTTTAAAAAAATAAAAATATAATTTCTAAATAAAAAAAATAAGTAAAAGTACAATGTCTCAATAGGAAAAAAAAATACTTACATTCCCATCTGAGTAAATGTCACCAGTACGAAACCCTCGATTTAAAGCATCCAACACCGCCAGCTCAATCCGCTCAGCTGCCGCCACTTCACCGAGGCCGTATTTCAAAAGCATTGCAGCACTCAGAATGGTCGCCAAGGGGTTTGCTTTATCCTGCATAATAATAAATTAAAAAATCAAGGGCAAAATAGTCTTTTTAGGTAAGACAGGGACAAAGAGCGCAACAAAAACAAACTTTAGGGACCTTCTGAGTTAAAAAAATAAGTTAGCGACCAAACGAGCAAATCACCCCAAACCATAGGGGCCATTCGTGTAATTTACTCAAAAAAAATTCTATTTTTTTAAATTATTAAAAAAGAAAAAGATTCTAGAATTTCAAATATTAACTACCTGTCCAGCAATATCAGGTGCAGAACCATGGATTGGTTCGAAAAGTCCGGGTCCCTACAAAAAAATAAAATAATATTAAACTAATTACTAAACTTATAAATATAATTAATAATATATAAATAATTGGAAAATGTAGAAATTAGATAAAAATACCGATGAACTAAGACTAGCAGAAGGAAGCATCCCAATACTTCCAGTGATCATTGAAGCCTCATCAGATAAAATATCACCAAATATGTTGTTTGTAACTATTGTGTCAAACTGCAAATAAATGGAAATAGAATAAATTACATATTTGGAAAAATGGAAAAGAAAAAAATAAACAAGGGCAAAATCGTAAAAAAACCTGTTTTGGATTTCTGACAAGTTGCATGGCTGCATTGTCTACATACATGTGGGAGAGTTCAACATCAGGATACTCTGCAGCTATTGCTATTACCCTTTTCCTCCACAACATTGACGCCTGTTCAAATTACAAAAGACGTAAATACCCTTCTCATAATGGAATAAGAATAAATTAAGAAGAAGAATACTAAAGGGCATTGGAACCTCAAGGACATTTGCTTTGTCAACAGAACAAAGTTTGCCACTGCGCTTTCGAGCTGTCTCAAATGCAATACGAGCAATTCGGTCTATCTGGGAGGGCAGAAAGGTAATTTTAGCATATTGATATAAAATATAAAGTGTTTAAATATGAAATTGTGTGAGAGAGAATTCAACCTCATATGCTGCATAAACCTCAGTGTTGAAGCCAATCTCATTACCATTTTCATCAGTTCCAAATCCTCTTGGTTTTCCAAAGTAGATACCTTTAAGAGATAAAACATTTGTAAGCCATATCCAAAAGAAAAGTTCTTCATCCATTAAGACAAATAAAAAAGTTTCAATTTATACACTAACCTCCTGTAAGTTCCCTTACAACCATCAAATCAACACCTTCAGCAACCTCTTTCTTCAACGTTGAAGCATCCACTAACTGAAAGTGGTAAAGAGAATAAAGAGTAAAGCAAGAATTGAGGTGTATTGTATCAAACTTAAGTTCATTAGATCAAAAAGAAACAGCTCCTTAATAGGTATTGAATGAATTAACATAATCAAGTATATCTTCATGTTCATGATTGGCTTACCTGAGGTAGAACAGATGCTGGCCTTAAATTTGCAAAAACCTTAAGACCTTCACGAAGCTGAAGTAATCCAGTTTCAGGCTTCAAATGCTTCTCGTTTTTATCCCATTTATACCTTCAATTCATTTCATGAATAAAGATGAGTGTCCAGAACTCCAATTCTAGCAAAATATGTTTGGTAATCTGAAGTTTTGATGAAAGGATAGGGCTCCAATTATGTTTTTTCTTGTATAATGCGTTTAAGTTGTTTGAGTAAAATCAAAATCAAAGTATTAGGTATAATTTACAAAAAGATGTTCACCCGCCAATAGCACCAAGAAGAACGGCATCAGATTGCTTCGCGGCCGTGAGTGTTTCCTCAGGCAACGGAACTCCGGTCGCATCCAAGGCGGCGCCTCCCATAAGCTTCTCGTTGAACTTAAATTCAATCCCTAATCATACATACGCTATAACATAAACATACATTCTAATAACAATCGAATCGTTAACTCCAAACTTCTAATATGTATATTTATCATACCTTCGATTGAGCCGGCAAGATTAAGAACGTTCTTGGCGACGGAGATGACTTCAGGGCCGATTCCATCGCCAGGAAGCAGAGTGATGTTGTAGCTTTTGGCGGTGGATGAGGCGGCGGAACACCTGATAATCACCGGCCGTGGCTGGCGTTGAGGAACAACGGATGTAGAGTTGAATCCAAAGGGTCTAACGTTGAGAGCTTGCATTGAGGACGCCATTGTTGATGGTAAACGACGTCGCAACGGTGAGGATTTGTTGAATCGTTGAAAGAGTTTGTGGTTAGGTGCCGATGTGCGTTCATATATGTCAACATGATAGACAATGAATAATATTAAAACCTAAAAACTCACTTTAAGGAAGATGTCCTAAAATGAACAAAATCATATTCTCACATTTATACCTCAATCCAATTAGAAATCCAAAATTTTGAAATTTTGGATATCGAAAATTAGGTTAGTTATATTCCAAACCTAAAGAACCAAAATCCATTTCAATAGTGATAATCCAAACAATTTAGTATGATGTAATTTGAATACAAATTAATGAGAATTTAATGGTTAATAATGTAAAAAAAAAAAAATTATATATGAACAGTTTGAATAAAAGTTTGGTTATTCGTTTAAGTTATTTTTTCAATTTCATATGTAACGTAGTTATCGTATATATCAATTGTACATTAACCTATTACAGTTGCTCGTAAAAGAATAACTTAAACAAAATTCAAAAATTCACCGCAAATGGTATACAAAAAATAACTAGATATGAACAAAATTAATAATTAATTACCCTTCTAAGTTATTTTCCCTAGAGTGTTTAAAATCGGATGTCTAAAATTTTGGATAGTCACTTTTGATATCCGAAATCGTACTTGAAACTTTAGAAATCTGAATTTCAGATATCCAAAGTTTCATATGCGAATTCAAATATCTGAAATTCAACTATATTTTCTAAAAAAAATTCAATCAATCACTATCAATCGATAAACTGGTAACATGGATAATTTAGAAAACAAATGTAACCTTGCAATTTACATTGTGTGTTGATGGTTAATTTAAATTGGATTTGTGGAATTTAACTTAGGTAGAGTAAGAGAAATTTTAATTGTTTTTACACACGGATTAAATTGTAACATTGGTTCTTATGACTTCACAAAAATTAGGTTAGTCATATGCGGATTCAAATATCTGAAATTTTGTCCTCTTTTTACCTTCAAAAAGTATATTTCATTCTTCTAACTTGTATAAATTATCAAACACACCCTTTCTATTAATTTGGTTTTAACAAATATATAATATATATTTTTTCATTGCAATAATATTAAATAAATAAGATTATATTTATAACACTTAATTATAAGCTTTTATTAAATACGTTATCGTATTTCAAAATTTCAATATATAGTTAAATTTTAATATGAATTTGATAAATAAAAACAAACTTTATATTTATAATTAATTAATATAATTTAATATATAACACGATACTATAAGTATTAAATATTACATTTAAATTATAATTAGTAGATAAAAAACCAGAAATGTATAAATATATAAAAAAAAAAGGGACAAAAATCGACAACTCAAAGTTCATCCTCATTTTAGGATAAATGAATAGTATAACACCAAATATGGTGTTATATTATTCATTTCCCCCAAAACGGGAAATAAATGGGGTAAAGTTGGAAAAGAATTGGGGAAAGAAATGAAGGAAATAATGAAAAATAGGAGTGGCCGGAGATTCTCTTAACCTAAAACAACACTACCCATCTTCTTCTTCAAGATCCTTAATCTACAACTAAAGATTGGTGAATAACTTTGTGACGTATCTCCCCCGCCTTACTCACATCCCATGTGAATTAGATCTCCCCCCCCCCCCTTCCTTATTTTCTCTCTCCGACTAGACCATCTTCCGCCTCTGGCCAAGACTTGACCAACGTCAGCAACTCAATATTCGATTCCATAACCACCTATTTGCTTCTAATAGCTCTCTTGTCGGTGAGTTTTGTTTTCCTTTCTTTGATCGTTTTCATTATTACCGGAAGCTTTGAGATAAACGACGATGCTCCATTGGGTACGAACGCTTCAGATTTGTTTGTTAGTGGAATGGAGGTGAGGTGGTGGAAGGGGTACTTCATCGGCAAAGTCTGCCAGGTCCGATAAAGGTATACAAACACAGACATGTGATATTCCCCACTGCTACATGTGATCTTCTTCCTTTCACCAGACATATGATCTTCTTTCCTTTTACCATATAAACAAAAAAACCAACAAACTCTCTCAACCTCACTCAGTCGTAGGCTCACAAATAGTGGTTTCATCAAGGGTGGTGCGTCGCCAACGATGTTTCCTAACACCGTAAAAAAGAAAGACCTATTTGAAAACCCATAACCCTCTTTACTTGAAATCACTTACATTGGTCAAGTTAGGGTGAAGATGGTTTTGTAACAAGGGTTTAGATGGATTTTTACTTGATAACATTATGTTTACTATTTAGTACTATGATTTGCATAAGGTTTGATTGAATT